ATTGAGATGATCAAGTGGTTTTGTCTTTTCTTCTGTTAATGTGGTTTATTACATTTATTGATTTTCGTATGTTGAACCACCCCTGCATTCCTGGGATGAAGCCTACTTGGTCATGGTGAATAATCTTTTTGATGTGTTATTGAATTTGGTTTGCCATTATTTTGTTGAGGATTTTTGCGTCAATGTTCATTAAGGAGATTGGCCTATAGTTCTCCTTTTTGGAGGTGTCTTTGCCTGGTTTTGGGATAAGTGTAATACTGGCTTCATAAAATGTGTTTGGCAGTTTTCCTTCCCTTTCTATTTTGTGGAACAGTTTAAGGAGGGTTGGTATCAGTTCTTCTTTAAAGGTCTGATAGAATTTAGCAGAGAATCCATCAGGTCCTGGAATTTTCTTTTTGGTGAGACTCTTGATTGCTGCTTCAATTTCATTTTGTGTTATAGATCTAGTCAGGTGATTAATTTCCTCTTGGTTCAGTTTTGGATGATCATATGTATCTAGAAATCTGTCCATTTCTTTAAGATTTTTGAATTTATTTGAATATACGTTCTCAAAGTAATCTCTGATGATTTCCTGGACTTCCATGGTGTTTGTTGTTATCCCCCCTTTTGCATTCCTGATTCTACTAATTTGGGTTTTTTCTCTCCTCATTTTAGTCAGGTTTGCCAGGGGTCTGTCAATCTTGTTTATTTTTTAAAAGAACCAACTTTTTGTTTCACTAATTCTTAGTATGTTTTCTTTGGTTTCTATTTCGTTGATTTCAGCTCTTATTTTTATTATTTTCTCTCATTTGTTTTGGGATTTACTTGTTCTTGTTTTTCTAAGAGTTTGAGATGTATCATTAGGTCATTGATTTGGGATCTTTCAGTCTTTTTAATATGGCACTCATGGCTATAAACTTTCCTCTCACAACTGCCTTTGCTGGGGCCATTCCCCCTTGAAACACTGATGCCATGTTTTGAGAATTCCAAACCAAACACAGAGAACTTCTGTAGGTTGTCAATCAATAGCCCTAACTGGGCTCTCAGTTAACATCCAGCATCAACAGCCATCCATTTGAGTGTGCCATTTTAGAAATTCCACCCCAATGGAAGAAGAACTGCTTAGCTAAGCCCAGTCAACCCACAGAATCAGGAAAGATAAAAATTATTGTTGATAACTATTGTTACAAGCAGTAAATAACCTAAAGAAAAGGAAGACCCAAATAAGTATAAGCTAAATATGGTATCAATTGACTTCTCCTCCATGGAAAATAGATCTGGAAATGTGAAGTCCCGCGTTGGCACAGGGGTTCTAAAAGTCATCATGGCCCTAAGTCACTCACCCTCCACCATCTCTGGCCTGTAGCCCTCATCTTCATTGTCCAGTATGGCTGCTAGTATGCTTGTCATGCATCCACACTCTAGATGAAGGAAGGAAAGGGTATTCCCTTTAAAGAAAATTTTGGAGATCATAATTCATGTGTTCACATTTCATTGTCTTAGATAAGACATATGGCTATACCCACCTACAAGGGAAATTGGAAGATGTAGTATTTTACCTGGGTGGTAATGAACTCAGCTAAAAGTCAGGATTTTCATCATCAAAGGATAGTTTTGAGAAAATCATGTAGATTATTCTCCAGATAACTGCAGATAACTCTGCCACACCCAGCCTATTTTTTTGCTGGACATTTTAAAGTAAATCTTAGACATAAAATATTATTGCATCTATAAGAACTTTTAATTGTGCTAGCATCATACTGTCAGGCAAAACAAACATTTAACAAAATGAACAATGACTTCTCAAAACCATCTAAAATCCAGACCCCAATTGTCTAAAAACATGCTATGAAGCTATTCTTAAACAAAAACCTATTCGAACAAAACCTCTGAATATTTTTATATTAAGATGAAGATTTGATACATATCTTTTCTTTTTACAAAGACAGGATCTTTCTATGATTGCTTAGGCTGGTCTTGAACCTCTGAACTAAAGCGATCTTCCCATCTCAGCCTTCCAAGTGCTAAAATTATATCCAACTAGAGATTTGCCTTTTGTTGTTGTTTTTTGTCTTGTGTTGTTTTACTATAGTAGCAATGTAAGTGACTTTGATGATATTACTAAATTTGAATTGGAATCAAATTCTCATTTGCTTTGTTGAGGTCTAAGACATCTATATAAGGCCATATTAACAGGTATGGCTAGTCAGTATCACTTGAAGGAAAGAGCTAGGAAAAAGAAAGTTTGGGAAGCAGGAGGCAGAAAGGGTAGGGCCCCGGGGGAGGCCCAAGACATGGACACTTGCCTCTGGCCAGAGCACCACACTGGTAATGCACTGGGAATGCAAGCATCCACTTTTACATATGTAAGCTTGGAGCATTTGTTCACATTGGCTTCCCTGAGTGTGAAGTGGCACACTTCACTTAATTGATGAGGTCTCCTCATCAATTACAGGTGAAGTGACCCATCCACATCCATGGGTTCCACATCAGTGGATTCAATAAACCATGGATGGGAAATAGTTTTTAAAGAATTATATCTGTATTGATCACACACGGGCTTTTCCCCTTCTTATTATCCCTTACACAACACAGTAGAACAACTGTTTACATAGCATTTCCATGAAGCTAGACATGATTTTTTTGGTGGTATTGAGTAATGAACTCAGAGTCTTGCCCTTGCTAGGCAGACATGCTACCTCTTGAACCATGCCACCAGCCCTTTTTGTGTTGGTTATTTTTGAGATAGGGTCTCACTTTATGCCTGGGCCAGCCTGGACTTCTATTTTTATACTTATGCTTCCCTGTGTAGCCCGGATGACAGGTGCATACCACTGTACTCAGGCCAATGGTTGAGATGGAGTCTTGCAAACATTTTTTTGAGACTGGCCTTGAACCACGATTTTCCCAATCTCCCCCTCACAAGTACCTAAGATTACAGACATGAGCCACCACACCCAGCCTAGACATGCTTTAAAGTGTGCAGGAGTGTGTGCGCATAGGTTCCATGCACATACTACATCATGTTATAAAAGGTAGTTGAGCATCTGCAGATGTTGGTATCCATGTAGGGGGTGGACTTCTGGTGGGGTACACAGTGGTACCCCCTGTGGATACCAAGGGATGACTGTACCGTATGTAATTATAGAGAACTTCTCAGTCTCTTCCTATAAGCAGTGGGTGAGCTTCATAGAATTTACTTCTGGTTCCAAAGACAAAATGAATCAATGCATGAAAATACATAGAATGAGGACTTGGCATATGGATGGACCATTATGATATCCATTCTTTGTTTCATTGTTATTTTTTTTTTTTGTTACGGAGGGGTTTTTAATCTTCCCTTGCCACAGCGGTGGTGGTAGTGGAAGTAGGAACACCATCAATGAGTGTTACAATGCAAAAGTAACTAAAATACATGTCTTCTCTACAAAGTCAAATCAATAAACATGGCCAATCACTAGGGAACATGGGGATTTTGAGATCCACTACAGGAAACTAAAGTAGGGATTGAATTTTGGCCAGCCTGAGTCTGCATATGAGCAGAATCACTCTCTGCCACAGAATGTTACACTTCCATCCTGCTGAGGTTCAACTGCTTCCATGGTCATTTGTCTTATATTTGTTTTAATATATTTTTTCCTGCTACATTTGCTCATCATTAAGACATTTATAATCAATGCTTTGCTCCTTCCTAGTTTTCTTCTTTATCCGTGGTCTTTCTGCATGATCAAGTTGTCCCAATTCCAAGGCTGGAAACTTGCATCATGATTAATGCTAAGATGTGAATTCCAGTTTTAAAACATTTCTGCCGCGAAGGGATTTACGTAGCGGACGTCGTCCTGTTTCATTGTTATTTTATCAAATCTTAATTAGCCCTTCCTCCATTTCTACTAGTGAAATGGAACTTCAGCAGGTATTTCTTGTAGACTAAAGTATTCAGAGCCTAGTATTCAAAATGTTCCCCTTCATAATTAACAAAAGAGATGTTACAAAGAGCTAGAAAAAATGCTCTGTTTTTCCTGATAATACATAAGGAGAATTTTTTCTGAGTCATAAATCTAATTTAAGAGATTGATTTGATAAGGTGTTGAGTTGAGAACATTCCCAAGAATATCAATCTTGTTTTCTGGTGCAATATGGAGAATGACATGAATATTCATGACTGTCACTAAATTGTTCCCTTGTGTGTGGAATAAATCTGTACACAGAAGTATTATTTGAATAAAAGGTCTTCAAGAGTTTCAAGCCTTTAAAAATCATTGCCACATCTTGCGAAAATAACTTTTAAAGACACACCTATAGTTACAATTGGTTTTACACCTAGATAATTTGTTGCCTTATTGATTTATATATATATATTAAAATTTCTTTCAATATATTCCCAAGCTGTAAGACAACTCAGCTCTATCAAGACAAAAGAGGCTTAGAGACATTTTGCTCTTTTTCCAAATGCTTGGTGGAATAAAAGTAATTAAAACCTGTGAGTCAGCTGATCTTTTATTTTAACAAAAAATTGAGAATTGTCTAATTAAATTAGCCCATCTATTAATGCAGTAGGTAAACTTTATTTAGATACCTATTTATTTCTGATGATTTCATTTTTCTTTTCATGTCTTTTTCATACATTTTAATGAGTTTGGATCACTACTTTTAAAACAATGGTAAAAGGACATTTTAAAAGCAACGTGGAAAATTTGATTACTGACTGGGTATCAGCTGGCATCAAGGGAGTTCAGTGAATTTTCCTGCTGTGATAATGTTGATGGTGGTTAGATTATTTTTAAAAGTAGTTCTTATCTGATAAAGGTAGCTAGGTACTGA